CCCCCGCTTAATAGGGGCCTTCAATATTTTCATTTGGTGTACACATGCTTAAATAATGATTATTTTTTACTGATGCATTATTGCGTGTTATTGCCCTCGATACGATGCCCTATATTGAAATGAACCTGGTTGTGTTTGGTTGTTAATACACGGGGGTAACTCAATTGACAACCTTAATAAACCATTAAAATGTAGCTCTAGTGTCCTGTAAGTTGATAGGCATGTTTCCAATAGTGTGTCAGTTGTCTCCTAGGTGACATCATTGTAAAGAAACACAAACTCCGGTGCAGGAACAGTTTAAAAATGGCTGCCCCATTAGCAACGTGCAGCAGAGAGGAACAGCATTCTGTTGTTGTTCGGTTTTTGTGAAGTAAAGCTGATTAGTATAGATTTATTTAGTCAAAAAACTCTACTTGCCATATGGGGGGAAGATCATCTGCGCACGTGATAGGTGCGAAATGTAGGTAGATGTGAAATCTATTGAATTGGTTGAATAGGAATAATCTATTGAATAGTGATAGTTGTGAAATCTATTGACATTTTTCGACGAGTGAAGGTTCAGTATGGTTACCTGTCGTAGCAGCAAGTATACGAATGGTGTCGAAAGTTCGCAAATGCTGTGTCATCCGTGGCCGTCGATCCGCGCTCAGGCCAGGTGTGTTGCGATGCCAGAGACCATTGCAGCCGCTTAAGCAATTTATTTATTTATTTACGTCAGAAACAGTTAAAAAACTATGTGTGACGTGCTATGAGGAGAAGTTAATTTGAAGTTACATTTACATCCCGAAGCAAAACAAGGGACCATCTCAGCATTTGCTCGAGGATCAGAGAAACTGGACGAAAACCTGATCGAGATGGGGGGCATTGACTCAGACGCTGAAGTACAATACTTCTTACAGGTTCTTTATAGTTTTACAATCCAAATGGTATATACTTTAAATGTGACTGTTAAAATTAATATTACTTGCGACTTAAACTTTTAATCGTTTTTGTTTGTATTATTATATTTTGTATCGAATTTAATCGTTTAATGTCACAATCGTGATGAACAACCGCCGAGTGACATTAGACGACATAGCAAAAGACGTTCACATTAGTCATGTTTCAGCACATCACATTGTGCATGATGAGCTCCAATTTCATAAGGTGTCAGCAAAATGGGTGCTCCGACAATCGACCTCGGAATTGAAACATCGTCGTGTCGATGCGAATGAAGAACTTTTGAACGTCACGGTGATGCATTCCTTAGATGAATTGTCACCGGGGACGAAACCTGGGTCCACGACCATGAGGTGGAAACGAACAGAGAGAGCGAGCAAGGAGTGGCGCCGCTCCACATCACCCAATCCAAAGAAGTTTCGAACACAGCCATCTGCAGGAAAGGTTATGCTGACCCTCTTTGGGTCGAAAACAGCATTATCTTGGGACTACAACAGCATCAATACGCCTCGAGGAACCACTACCACTAGTGCAACATACACGCACCTCCTCAAAAATCATCTCCGGCCTACTGTCAAAACGAAGCGACGTGGATTGCTATCGGCACGTGTTCTGTTGCAACCCAATGCACGGCCCCATACGGCTCGTGCACCTGTTGCGACTACAACAGACCTGAGATTTGAATCGCTTCCAAATTCACCTTACCTGCCCGATCTTGTCCCGAGTGATTTCCACATGTTCGGGCCACTCAAAGAAGCAATGGGCGCCAAGAAGTTCCACTCGGATAATGTATGCCACGCGGTGCACGAGTAGTTGCGCCGTCTCCCAAAAACATTTTTTCTACGGGAATTCAGGCACTTCGGAAGCGCTGGCAGACATGCATTGAGCGTGGGGGAGACTACGTCAAAAAGTGATCTAGTTGTGTAACATGTGTGTACAATAAATAATTTTTTTAAATACGGTTTTCATTTGATCACGCTCGTATAATTAAATCTGTCCGTACTCTCGTAACTGCTTGATGTCAATACTAACATTTATATTCGATCTTTACATAATTTTAATTTGCCCTGTTCTGCTCAGGTCTTTATTTCATAATTAATTATTTCAATAACATTACCTTTAATATTTTTTGTGGGTATCAACATACGACAAACTATAGCTCACCTGATCGTATGTGGACGGCCCAGCAATTTCTCGAAGTTTTGTTAGCTAAGAATCTTTGATTCATTGCAACTAAATATAAATTATCAGCCTTGTTGGAAACAAATATAATATTTATTTCCATTGAAAATCATTAACTTGGTTTAATGAGCTCATTTATGTCAACTACCGATTCTATTCTGAACCTCTTGTACAAAAAAGTTTAAATGCTTTTTACTTCGTGTCTTCTCGCACATTAAATACTTTCTCGGATGAACTCCAGGTGAAGAAAATGTCAAATGTCCGTGAGGTCTTCTCTTTTCGATCGCTGCGATGACGAACCCTATTTCATCTCGTTAACGCGATAAAATATAATATCAGCCTCTAATAAAAAATAGCAATCCGCGCATTTGCTGAATTATTATCAGTTCGTCGATAAGCTCTCTTAAAACGATGAGCGTCCGTGGCACTTTCCCGACTCGCCTCTGACGGGCGCCTTGCCGCGTCACTCCTACTATTCATAAATAAACGTTTTGGGAAAGTCCCGAAATATTTCCTGATCTAATTGCGTTCACCTAACATGTTCGTTTGTGTTCAGTTAGATAGATAGATTTATTAAAGTTCGCTTTGAGCTAATGCTCGGTGGCAAACATGATAACAATTAGAATTAGAATTACAAAACTATTTTAATATTTACAATTAGGTGCCGATATCATAGTTCCAATTTATTTCTAGCTAACTCTAAATTCAATTCTAGTTTACATAACACTTCACTATACTACACTACACTGCACTGCACTGCACTCTCCTTCACTACACTACACTCCCTTCCCCTCCACTACACTACACTACATTTCACTTCACTTTTCACTTCACTTCACTTCACTGTATAAGGGACATGACGATAATAATTGTAACAATAACAATATTAGAAATAATAATAATAACTTAAAAATTTCCCCAAAGCTAATGACAGTGTTAACAATGATGGTAAATTTGTCCCTAATAATATATGTTCACAAATGGTGTGCTGTTAATATTATATAAATTATTCTCGAATTATTGCGATTCTAATTCTGTGTTAACATTTTGTTAGGCCACTCACCTCCTACGTTCAGCGTTGTCTTCACTGACCTATCACGACACCGCCCACCTCTCGCCCCAGCGTGAACCCACCGCGTGCACAGCGCGATGGTCAGCAGTCGAAAGAGACCTATCCCGTTCCTTTACACATTATCATACCTCCTACACATGTATTCTTTTCATTACAAGAGGCTTTGACCCGCTCTCCCGCGTTGTTAATCTACTGCGATGATTCATTTTTTCCGGGCTTATTTATTTACATATGCTACAATGGCAGCTTGTCCGTTCTGGTTTCATTTCCTCTGTACGTAAGAAAATATGAAAAGACAATCCGAGACAAGTTCACATCTAGTGCATTAATTCTCTAGTTAATTAACTAGATGTCTAATTAACTTCGGGCTAAAATCCCTCGGGATTTTTGTCGCTGCTCGACCATTAGAACGCTTTTGTCGTCCTTGGTGCATAAATAACTTACTGGTTATGACTGTTATTTACTAAGTGACTTACAGTGACTTACTGGTTACTGGTATTTACTGATAATGATTAACTTCACAAATTATTAAAATATTTAATCCATGTTTTAGAACATTGAGTTTTAAAAGAATGTCGCACGTAAATGCAGACAAAACTTATTTAAATTATATTTATACTATATTGAATTGTTATTTTCAGATTCGATTTTTAAACTGCGAAGATAATTCTATTTTCGTATTTATTTTAATAACTTCTGTTCGATATTTCTGTGTTTTAGAGAGACCCATAGTTTGGCCATGCGTAGGGCCCCCCCTCTCCCCCCTCGGACGATGACTCCGCCGGGTTGGGAAGTCTATGAGGCCCGCAGCTCTCTGCGGTCATTTTCCGTTTGTTTCCTTCCATCATTTCCGGGCAAATACTGGAGTACCTTAAAATATGGGCCGCGAAGCTCGTGTGATCTTTCCTTTCACATCAAGAGCCCCATCCAACTCTGAAGGGTCCCCTTCCTCTTATTGGCCATTCTCATGGTTGAGAAAAATCCAATATTATTGTTTGTGCGCGGGTGTCAAATCAGGGACAAACCAGGACTATAGCGTCGACGAGAAAAGAAGAGAGAGGGGGGAAGGCGGGAGAGGGAGATACTGATGGGAAAGCAAGGACAGAGAGACCGAAAGAGAGATGGACTGGCACGTGGAAAGCGAGGGGAAGAGACGCGAGATCATCTAACATCACTCCAATGAAAAGATCATAACCCCCATGCCCAAACGGAATGTCTGCGCCCGCCCCTGCCGTGGCCCACTGTCGGGAGGCCCTTCGCCCTGTAGTGACGGAGGCGGACGGGCGGGCGGGCGGCTTAAATATAAATGCGGGCGGTCGCCTCCGCGAGAGAGGGATCGCCCGTCGAGGAGCAGCAATCAGCAGATTGCCTTTTGCCCGTCGTCGCCTCGCCGCGCAGCGCAGCGCCGCGCCGCGCCCTAATTGCTTGATTCGCGATGAATTTTACAACGCGTCTTGACTCGCACTCCTTCGATTTTTCCGCCCTTACCCGGCCGTTTGGTTTCACGGCCGCCGTAAAGGAGTCGGCGCAGGATGCCCTGCAACGGCCGCCCGGAAGCGCTGCGGCTCTCGAGAATTATGGGGTTCCTGTGAGATGGGCCGGATTTGATGTGTCCACCTAACTTACGAGGGCTTTTTGTTAGATTATGTGGTACCGCGTCGAAACGGATGTCTTGCTAAAATATTTAATATGCAACGTAACATTTATTGTATTTTTAAATGTAATGTTTGCGTGTGTTTATTTTGGGATGGATTAGAAACAGAAAACGATTGTATTTTGTCATTTAAGTGCAGGTACTTGTTTTGTAATGGAACCACGTACACCAAAGAATAAGAGAAAGAAGATTGTCTCGTTAATACGTATGATAAATATATAAATTCATATTCTTGGATAAACGTGTTCATCCTGGTCCTTATCATCAAAAGCATTATCGTTGCGATTTTGGTTCCTTTCTGTTAGTTCCTATTCTTCGTTTGGCCAGATTTTGGTTTGGATTTGTTTGATTTTTTATTCTCCGTATTACGCCCGATATTATACAGACTGTTTCATTTTAATATTATGCCTTTAAATATTATTAGTCGTTATTGTCAAAAGTATAACTTATCAATTTCTTGTTTTCAGAGGCTTGTGACGTAGTGGTAGTGGTGCTGAGCCAAACGGATTCACACCACATCGATCTCGCTCAACAGCTAAAAGCTGATATTCATACACAAGCTCTTGCTGTGTCGCAGGTACGTAACATTTTTCACACACGAGGTCCTAGGAAGAACTGCTCTTTCAGGTACCATGGCAGAATCGCTGCAATACCTGCACGAGCGGTGAATAAAAGTCGCAAATCTCTTTGGATCAAGACGAACCTGGTTGTATGCGCAAATTTTCATTGAAATATTTAAAGCTGTTTATTAGATATTATCGTTTGAGTATTTCTGAAAATGATCACATCATCTTAAGCAAAGCGAAATCATCTATTCGTTTTCACACTTAAAACAATCTAAAATTGAGTAACATTAATATAATAATAATAATAATAATAATAATAATAATAATAATAAAATATGAAATAATATACAAATTCTAACATACGTTGCATCCTATTGCGTGGCATCACCATTATTTTACGTTTATGAAGCACAGTAAATTAGGAGCTGGCGACTTATGTTGTTCGCCAAATTACACAAAAAATACTCTTTATTTCCATAAAATTAAATATGACCTTATTTGAAGATCTATTTTTGATTAACATATTTAATTTAGAAAAAATGTATCTTCGTAATTGTAGTTGTAGGAAGACGCCGAAAAAGTTTGATATTTTGAGTTTTCACCCAACATGAGACCTGCATAATTTTCTTAAACGTCCCTCAGACTCTCCAAAAACAAAATTGAATCAAAATCCATGAAGCAATTTTTTTCAAAATTTTGTAAACGTCCCAGCGGCTTCATGTAAAGTCCTCCCCAAAATTGAGATATTGGTTTCAAATTTAATCAGCCAGACCGGTTGGGGAATTTCAATTTTAGAGAAAATCGGCTGAACGGTTTAGCCGCCAACGTCGTTCACAGACGAATTTTTGTGCAAACGTAATATAACCTAGCTTACGTCGTGGGAGACATTGACATTAATTAAAGAATTTTAGAGAACAAATTTCATTTGAAAAAATATATTTTCATTAATACAGTTGTATGAGAGAGATTACAAAGTTTCAAACTTTTGCAGTTTTAGAAAATTGAGAGTTAACAGTGAAAATCAGACCTACGACATCTTTATAGTGTATTTCACTGTATTCATACAAGAAATTCAAAGACGAAAATTGTATCTATTTCTGAGAAAATTTTGAAACTGTCTCAGAAGCTTTACGTGAAGTACCCCCAAAAGTAAAAGAAATCTTTTCAAAATCGCAGTGCGTCGAGTCGGACCGAATCGATCGGTGATATTAATATTGTAAAATTTCGTAAGGTGTATTTCTGTCGAAATTTCGAGATCAATTTTCCGTAGCATTTCAGAACTTTCACTTTACTATGTATATAGTATGTATACGAGAAAGTAAAACAATATTTTCTCAAAACGTCTCCAATTTGTTTCTTTAAACTACTTGTATGTATAGAGCTCAATGCCCTGAATATCACGAGATAATCGTTAATTTGAAGTTATCTTTTAATTTCTCAAAAAGTACATAGATGTATGTACAAAACGTGTTATATACGGAACCAATACAAATAATGTGAGAAAGTGCGTGCTGTTGATATATCACTACTTTTATATTTTTTACTTCGACTGTTTTGTTCATAAACTGTGCATTAAATCATTTATAGTGCTAGCAAACATATCACATTAAGAAAAACATGTGTCAATAATGAAAGTGTAAGAGTGACACAGATAAAAGCTGTTCTAATACAATTTTCTAAAATTCAGATATAATGAAAATTGGACTTATGCCGTATTTATAAGCACATTCTTTTCTACTATAGCAAGACATCGTCGTCTTCTCCTCCTCTCCTTCTTCTCTTTTTTTTCTTCTTGCACGACACCGCAGGGCTTCCTCAGTGATCTTCCTCCTCCTTGCCTATGGTTTTTCTTCTCCAACTGCTCAATCACAGCATTTTCAGATCTTTTTCGATATATTTCATCTCTCTAATATGTTTTCTAACTCTCCTAGCTCTTTCGGGCATAAGAATATGGGAGTTTGATGAAGTTTCTGGCGTATATTGCTCCTTATTCCGAATGCATGTCCCAGCCATTTTAGCCATTTTCGAAGCTCTGGTTATGCAAATATCATTGGGTTCTTGGAACCTATAATACAATTCACTATTGTATTTTGTCCTCCATCTCACCAGCATTGACTGGTCCATATATCACTCTCAAACTTTTCTGTTCAAAAATGTGGAAAGTCTGTTCATCTTTTAACTTTCTTGCCCTTTCTTCGTAAGAAGAGAAAGTACAGAAATCATGCCCAGGAAAACAACAAATTTTCGACAGAAAATAATTATTTTTTAGTTTATTTTCAATCGCATCAACATCGTGATTATTTGCAATTTTCTGTTACAGTTACAATACAATTAGAATAGAATTACAATAACAATAAGAAAAACTTACTGCTGGGTGCTGGTAACGAAAAAATGGATAACTCTTGTTCCCATATATGTGTAGTAAATTACTTTGTCTAACAAGTTGTGTGATCAGAATCCACTATTTTGTATTGTTGATACCGAAAAATCGATTGACAGCAAAACATCTTTATCTGTGGTCAACTCGAGAACATAAACTTTTCAGCCGATTGTCTCAAAGTTGATATTCCGTGATCGATGTATATGAACTCGTGGATCCTCTGAGTTTGAAATAGATGTTATGATTTTGGGTAGGTACTTTACATTCATTACATACTTTACATTAGATTCACGATTTTCTCAAAAATTGCTAATTCTTTAAATAATTTGGTCTAATATATATAAAATATTAGGCCAAATATATCATATAATAATAAAAAAATATATATGAACTACAATATTGAAGATTGAAATTTTTGTCCATAGTAAAATCTGTTCTTTTAAGACAGGTGTTGAAACAAGGTCATGCACAATTGTTCGAAAATATGAGTAGATTTCACATAAGTTGCCGTGAATTATAGGCAATTTTAATTTTTTTATACATTATTTTCTCAAAAAACTGTTTAAATTTTCTGTTCGTATGTATCAAAAGATGGTAAAAAAGAAGTGCTGATGGTCTCATTCCTGGCAAACTCTTTGTATTTTAGAAAATTGCAAATATTTAACATTTAAAAATTACGATATTGAAGCTCAAAAGCTTTGCTTTAAACAAAATCTGTTCTATAAATCAGCTGTTTAAAAAAAGGTAGTGTACAATTTTTTTGAAAAAGCTAGTCGTTTTTACGTAAAGCTAGTAACCATTTAATTAGTAGGACCTCTGGCTGAGACAGATCAATACGAGATCTATTTTGATCAAAACCATTTGTAGGATCAGGGTGTTGCCCTATTCTTTATTGCAGTGTTAAAATATGGCACTGTTAAATATTTCAGTTTTCATTTCATCTTTGAACCCGAGTTCCATAATTTTAAATTACTGTTGTATCACATAACACTTTCTAAGGCAAAGGCAAAATTATGTAAATGGTGACATTTGCGGAAGTTTTAGCTAAACAACCATAAAAAACTTACTTTTCTCTGAATGGAGACTTACCTTAGCTCTTGAAAGACATGTAGCTAAGATTAAATTGTCTTCTTGGAAGGAAGAAAGGAGTTAATTTATAATTTCACTCAATCAAAGCCTTTTAGCAGAAAGTGAGAAGTTAAAAAACTTCATATGTTAAGTCACAATTTTTCCTATAAAATGAAAATGTTTATGTGCAGTAAATTCATTTCTTTTTGTATGTTCAGACTGTTACCAACTTTCTTTTTGTTTGTGAATGTTCTAATCTTCTTTTTTATTTTCATCAATTAATACATGTTTGCTTAAATTCAATTACTAGGATGTTCCCGTTGTGCATTTGGCCCATGAAGAATTTTCACATCCAGGAACTTGGACAGTCGTACCTATTCTTCCAAAGTAAGATCTAAGCTGCAGTACTGGAGTTCACTGAAGTTGAAAACAGACTAATCATATCAAACTCTGAATACTGTGAAAAGTTAAATGTTTTAAATATTGTAAATGAGCAAAATAATCATTTCATTTGACAAATGATAATTATTGTGAATATATTAATATTCCTTATGTTAAAATCAAAGTATTAATTAGTTACAATTGTACTACTTCATGAAATTTTTATAACCAATTCTTTTACAGGCTTCGTGCTCTGCATGGTGATAATAGTTCTTGGATTTTCTTTTGCGAAGAACATACAAAAATTAACCTTCCTTACGTACTACGTATTCTCGAAAAACATGATCCGAATGAGGTATGAATGAATATTCATCATAACTTACAATCTCTTTAAAATATGGCTCAAAGTATAATTGTTTTTCTTCAAATTTTCAGCTTGTGTGGGTTGGACATGCCATTTATGATAGAGAAGCCACCATTATTCACCACTTTGCATTTTTTGAAAATCCTCAGCACTTTAAGTATCCAAGTTTTGCATCAGGTTTTGCAATGACTAGTACTTTGTTAAGGAGGTAAAGAAAAGTTTAGACAAGGCTAAGTATAAATTTAGCTCATAAATTTGTATTTTAATGATTTATATGAATGTCAAAAAATAAAAACAATTATGTAATCATCAATACCTCAAAGCATTATATTTGTAAATAATGACATATTAATATTATAGAGATTTAAAAATTAAAAATGTTATGACAAGTGAGAACCCATCATGTTATTGTTTATGAAAGGGCAGCACATTGCTTCTCTGATGTAGAAATAATTTATGGAACTTTCTTGTTTTATCACATTCAATTTCAATAATAATTATGAATATAAAAATATAACAACAAATTTACTTTCAAATTTATACAAAGTTAATTTAAAATTCAAAAATAATATTTCCAGATTAAGTGCTCAAGTATTAGAATATGGGGCATCGACTGATTTTTCAATTGATCCTGCACATGAATTAGCACTGTTTATTTGGAATAATGGAAAAGGTCCTAGGATAACTCACGTACCTCACTTGTGCCTTCAAAATAATGAAGACTGTGCCTCTTATCCAATGCCATTTACACCGTGTGTAAGTAGTTATTTTGAATTATTATAACAAATTTAATTTTGTTGTATTATATGAAAAGCATCTTAGAGTTTTTATGACTTTTTAGAGTGATCCAGTGAGTAAAAAATCTATATATTTTGCTGTTAAAACTTGTGGGAAATTTCATCATGATAGAATTCCTGTCATTAAGAAGACATGGGCAAAATACGTTCTGAATATTGGTTTCTACAGTGAAGTTACAGGTAAAATAATTAGCATAATAATCACGTTTATTACAAAAATGTATATTATTCAAATGACTTGGTTTCATTTGTTCTGTAGATAATTCTATTCCCACAATCGATTTGGGTGTTCCCAACACAGAACGAGGCCACTGTGGAAAAACATTTGCTATTTTAAAACATGTAGCTTCACATGTTAAAAAACATCCTGAGATAAAATGGATTGTTGTTGTAGATGATGATACAATTCTAAGGTAAGTGAGTATTTTGGTGGGCTCTACTACCTTCATTCTGTTAAATATTTGATTCATCAATTTTATAAAATCCATCCTTTTCAAATCAATAATTTACAATATGTTTGCAGGTAAACTTAATTCGGTTTTTAATGTCCTTTAAGAGAGTAAATTTTGACTAATAATTTGAAAAATATAATTTTTGTTTCTTAAATTGTTGAATAGTTCTATGAACATTTGAACTAATGTAAGCTATTAATAGGTAAATGCCGGTCTGGATGGCCGAGATCGCTAAGGCAGTAGTGCCATAGCGATGTCAGACCAAAGATCGCGGGTTCGAGTCCCACCTCGAGCATGGTTGTATTGTGTTCGCCTGGTCACCCCCTTTCATCATTGTATCATGTCATCCTCATAGTTACCATACTGTTACATGCAATAGTGGTCACTAATGACCTAGAAGTTGATGCGACCTTAAATAAAAAATAAAAAGAAAGGGGTAGGCAAATGACCATTAAAACTTTTGAAGAAATTACAAATCTGTCAGTGATTTCTATAATGTCATAAGAAATTATTAATATGCTTCTAATTAACTAAATAATTTCTTCTCTTTCTTTGCAATGGCAATCTGCTCATTTATTACATATGACTAAATTTTTGTTTTTCAGTGTCACAAGATTGCAGCAACTTTTATCGTGTTATGATCCTAAAATCATGACTGCAATTGGAGAAAGATACGGGTATAATGTCCAACATTCAGATCAAGGATACAATTACATTACAGGAGGAGGAGGCATGGTCTTCAGTACTAATTTGATTCAAGCAATAGTTAAATCTGAACAATGCCAATGTCCATCAAATTCTACACCAGATGATATGTTCCTTGGAATTTGTTTATCATCTCTAAATGTTCCTATTACTCACTCACCATTATTTCATCAGGTATTTCATTGTCAATTTGTGATATAAAATTTACAATTTTTTATGCATTAAAGATTTGTACTAATTTGTTTAAAACAGGCTAGACCATCTGACTATGCGCCAGAATATTTAACAACCCAAGTTCCTGTATCATTTCACAAACATTGGATGATAGACCCTCTAAAAGTGTATAAAAAGTGGTTTGCAGAAGCAGATAAACAGTTCGAAGAAGTCATCCAAAACAAACATGTAGAGCTTTAAAGGAGCTGTAATATTTTCAAAACAGTTCAAAGTGTAACTATAATTCAGCAATAAAGGATTGTTATAAGCAAAGAGAACTTACATATTAACTTTGTCTTTTTGAAAGGTAAGAGAAGGTTTTGACAATTTTGGTGCAAGTGGACTGACTTAAAAAGAAGTATTAAGGACTTTTTTTATTATGTAGTGAATATTTAATTTCATTTTTCCTTTGTTTTTAAACTGTACTTATTCATATTACAATTGTTGAATTATATTTTTGTACATAATTATTCAAATTGTTTGTATGTTAGAATGTTTGGCTGAAAAAACACTGAGGTGAAAATAGTTTTGTTACAGCTGAGAATTGTTTGAAACTGAGAGCCAGAGATTCCTTTTCAACCATGATAATATAATAATAATATTCTGGAAACCATTTCTGTTTGTTAAGAACATTCCCATGATGAAATATTTTGAAAACAATTGACCATCATTCTTAAAGGAATAGAGAATTGTGTATGAAAACACTTTTCCAAAAAGTAGTCTTCTTTTATTTATTTCATTATTTCAATCTAACTTATTAAACATTGTAAAGCTGATTCCAACAATGAATGTAACAGCACGTGTTTGCTGCCAATAATATTGTGGTTAATTGCTTTTATTAGTTGAAAATCGTGTGAATTAGTTTTGTTTTGAATTGACAAGGGCTCATAAAATAAGCCTGCAATAAAATGTACATCGTATATTATATGTGTTAAAATATTATTAATGAAAAGTATTTTCATAATATTTTAGTAAATTAATGCATAAAAATGTTATGTTAAAAGAAAATGAAGATAAAACCATTATTTTTGTAATTTTTAATGCCTAATATTTTACAATGAAATATAATAGTTTCTCACAATATTCCTAGCTACATAAGTGAGTTTCATTAATCCATTGATTCCTCAAAATATGCCTTTTCATTCTTCCTTCCACTGTTTTACAGATAATATTACTGAAGGACAGAAAATAAAGTCTCCTCATATGAAAACAATTTTACTTTATGAATAATCAACTTTATAAAATACGCGAGGAGGGAGTACAATGTAAAGTACATTTGCTATTTCTTGTAATGAAGCAGTCTCTCTTATTTATTATTATCATTTTATTATAAGCTTGCTGAAGTACTCTGTGTTACCTTATGTTGCCCCATTTATTAATCACCTAGCAGAGATGTAATCTAGTAGAGATGAAAAGAAATAAATGACTGTTGATAGTGTATCCCTGCCCTACCCTTGCCTTCTCTGGGCTCATCTATCATCTATCCTGGCCTGCCATGAAGTTTCTATCCTATTATCAGTTACCTTCCCTGTTCTACCCAGTCTCTCCCAGCCTGATCCCAGAAGCCCAGATCCACCCAGTTCCTCTTTACAGCTCCACCCCAACTTCCTCTGTACACTCACCCCACTCAGCCCCACAGTACCATATTTGCTATAATCACCATTGTTGCTATGGGTAGCTATTTACATATGCATTGTTCTGTAGTCCTGGCAAACTTCCACTTACAATTTGGACCTTCGATGAATCTTCAATGATTTTTTCAAAGCTTTGAAGAAAATAATTCAAATGAACCTAAATGCATTTAGTAGGAAATTTTATGGGCTTTAAGAAATGTTTTATTCACTTAGGTAAACATACTTATTACTTATGAAATATCCATAAAAACTTAAAAGAGTGCACACTTAAATTTTCTTTAAGGGGTGAGAAAAGGGAGATGTGGTACTTTTAGAAAATTTAATAGAGGTGGTAACTTTTCTCATATTTGGAAGGTCATGCATAAAAACATTCATTAAGATTGGAATAAATATAGATTTATAGGAAAAAACACTTTGGTATGCCTAACAAAACATTTGACACAACACACTTTCAATGATAACTGTATGAAAATTGGTTTTGCCATTCCAGTGGTTACCTCAGACATATAGATAAACATAAATCATAAAAATAATATAAATTATCTATAGGAACATATGAAAAAGCTAAATGAGCTCTAAATGAACATATGCAGAACTTTGTTTTCGGCCTGGAAGCTGCAAGCTGCAAGGATGATCGCTACGTGATCGAAATTATCATTATCAAAATAAATTTTTGATTCCAGACAACACCTTTAATTTACTATATTTAATTATTAGAAGGTATCTACTTTGCCAGCGATCTAATTAATATGTTAATGGATTCCCGAGTTAAAATTGTTTCTAATTTTTAGTTAAGGTAACCCAGCTAATCTCTGTATGTATGTATGTATGTACTTGGTACGACAGCCTGTAAACGAGTTCAGACGTACCAGCAAACCAATCTCTAAATACTTAATATAAAATGATTATCTGATCTTCAGAGATTGTACTGTCAGTTAAATATAGGCCTAAGTCATTTACTTGGTGATTCTACAACACAACAGAACAACTTCACCATAATGCCCCTTTTCAAGTGCTGTAGAAATCAAATGACTAAAAACATAAATGTATCTACTATCTCTTTGGAAGACACATATTTCTGTTGTTTACTGTGTTAGTTCAATGCATTTGGGAAAAATGTATAAATGATGTCAGAAATATTGTCGTATGTTAGTTAAAATTGAGATAAACTCTCATATTTCAACTGTCATTAGCACAATCCCTCATGACCCGGTAAATAATTTTATATTCTAATAATCAATGTATCAATAGAATCTCATTTAATATTTAGTGGACATTTTTTGTTGACAATATTAAAAAAATGAATACTCACTCAGGAAATATAGCCCAATAACCGGTAAGTCCTAAGTATAAGTGCACATTTATATCTGAAGATCAAAGGGTATTATACAATCCTTAGGTGAGCCATGATCTACCCTGAAAGTCATGAAAATCATTTGAACCATCAAACCTTTTTATCTACTTCAATATTCATTCCTAAAGATTAAATAAACTTAATTAATAAAGAAATGAGTGTCCATAAATCAGTTAATTATCAATCAGCTTCCTTATATTAAGGACAATCAAAATGTGTGGTACAACACTATTAATGACAGAAAAGTGGATGCACAATGTTTTGGAGATAAGTACTTTTTCTCCATTATGCCCAATATTCCTTCATTGTATAAGTAAATCATATTAATGTCAACATAAGTTCAATAGTGGCATATTGCATCCTGTGAAATAGAAGGCTTGACAAAAAACAGAAAAAAAAAAATGTTTCTCTCTGGATTCACTAGACGCATTAGGTGCTGCAGTAGGACTACGTGTACAAATTGAAAGAAGAAAAAAGAAAAAGCTGGTCAAAACTTGCCTTCTCGCCATTTCAAGTTTTAAATATAGAATATACTAATATTGTTTTATTTTTATTATTATTATTATTATTATTATTATTATTATTATTATTATTATTATTATTGTTGTTGTTGTTGTTGTTGTTGTTATTATTATTATTATTATTATCAATAGTATTAAGTATTTATGGTATATTATTTATAAGTAATTAAGTTATATTAATAACAGTGCAGTACATATTGGTATAAACTGTGGACATTCCTGTGTAGTTCCATGCACAACCAAAGAAAAATCAGTTAATTGCTATTAATAAATTGAATGATTATTAATTACATGAACTTGTAGGAATTAAAAAAGTGAAAATAGTGATTGAGACTCATAGGAAAAAAATAATCCTGAACATTTTTAACATACGTATAAAAAATTAATTTCTCAAAGCTGGAGGACAAAGCAAAACGAAAAAGCAATACATCCCCAGTATTAAGTTTATATAGATTAATAGAGAAGTTATAATTGATATTCCTTTACTGATTGATAATTTTAAAAGTTATGAGATTTATAACTTATTACAAATTTTTCATTAGTAAAGGACTATCCCAACAATACACATATTTAATGCTTCAGGAAATGCTTTGGTAAAATGCTAAAGATCATTGATATATGAAGATAATTTGTATACAATACTAACACTGGAATTTAAGTGAAGAATAATTTAATGGATTATTGTTAAATAAAACAATTTTTAGGTCAGTGTTTCATTAATGATATAAAAATGTTCTTTGGTTTGGATTTTCAAAATGTTTGAATTCGCCGCTTAAACAGACGACAATTGTTACCAGTTTATACAACTTTATGGCATAAACTGTAATTTGAGATATTGAAGATTCCACTATAAAATACGTATCCTAGTAAATTCATTGATGGTTCCGATTACAATATACGAATATCAGGGACCATAGCATATCCTACAGTCATGTTAAAATTCTTTTCATTATGCTTTTTTTTTCAATTTTGTCTACTCGCGATTTTGTGCCCAATCCATGCCAGAGGTCTCTCAAGCACACCTGATGCTTACGAACAATTGCGACGAGTGGTGGCGAGTTGAGGCGTGCGCGATGAAGTATTGTGAGTTGAAGGTCTAACCTCTCAAAAAAGATCAGTCTAGATTAATTCTGTCGGCTTTCGATTTCTTTGCCATGGATATTAATTGTTGATCTTGTCATTGTATAGATGCCAATTTATTATTAATATTTGTACAATTCTATCAGGTTTATTTTCTTTGATTTCTTGACTGAAGTCTGTAGATTATGTGAATTAACAATATTCAAGATGAATCTAATGAATAAATGCACCCATTGGGGATGCATTTTAAGAAGTTCTGTCTATCGAAAATATTCTGTCAAATCGGCTAAGAAACTGCTACAAAAAGATTCATCCAAATCCTCCAAAAAAGGAGAAAATGCTAAGCTTTTAAAAAGATATAATAAAGAAAATAAATTGTTATTTGGTAGTTTAGTGGAAACTTTGCCACAAAAAAGGAAAAAAGAAATAAATGGACCAATAAATGAGAACTTAAACTACATGTCAGATGCAAATGATAAATCATCAGAAGCTTGGTGGTGGAAATCAAGACTCAAAGCAAATGTCAAACCAAACCATACCTTACTACCTTCCCAAGAAAACAGGTGTGATGAAGCTAACACATCAGGGAATATGAAAGATATTACTGAATATGGAAGTGTTTTAAGGAGTAATGTTTGTGAACCTACCCCTGTAATGAGTGAAAGGATTGTTAATAACATCGTAAGATCTAGTGTTTTCCATAAATCGAATCTCAGACTGCCAAACATTATAGTGAAAAATCTTGCTGTTTTTCCTTTGGAAAATAAACGGAAACAGACATTGCGTCTTTCTTCCAGTAGTTCACCAATTCTCCACGTATCCCCAACCGAAGATAATGATTTGGTTAGAACCAAGTCTAAAGAATATCCCTCTGTGAGTAGGATTTTAAATGCAACATTGTCTGATTCTTCAAGAGCTGCTCTTCAAAAATGGAAAGAAAACCTAATTGCAGAATTGGGAGAAGAAGGGTTTCAGAAATATCAGAGAGGTAAAAACAACTTTGAATATGTTGAATGGTAAAAGCAATATATTTTCACTCTGTACATTTAAATTATTATTGTTACTCATTCATTTCAGCACTGTTAGAGCATGGTCAAATGTTTCACAAAACTGTGCAGGAATTTTTATCAGGTGAATCGATTGATGACATTCAAATAGATTCAGCTGTTGAGGGCTGTTGGCTTAGCATACAGACTACGTTGAAGGAAATTGGTGCAGTGAAAGTTCTAGAAAGGCATGTGGTACATGAGGAACTTCTGTATCATGGCATAATAGACTGCATAGCCGAATACAAGTATGTGAATTTTAATGTAACTTAATATAATATACCATAAAACCTCTTAAGTCAACCACGTGATTAATACCTTAAAATTGGTCTTTTAGAGAGGTGGTCTTCTTAAAGGGAACTTTGCATTATTAAGCTGCAGCTGCGATAATTACTGTAGGCACTCTACTCTGGTTTCAAATGAAAGCTTTATTGTATTGCATCATTAAATTACTTTAATCAGCTGTATTTACCAATTAAAATTATTACAAAAAAGAAAAGTATAGTGTACTTTAAGAATTGTCCTTCTGGTAAAACGATATTGACTTAAGGTATCCTGCTTAATCTAGGGGTATTATTTTGATTCTTTGAAATTATTTTTCAACCTTATAGTTTCTCTACTGCCCTGGAAGGGCTCCCCTTTAGAGTTATTGTAAAATCTATTTGGCCTGATTGCTGTTGCCTCTCTGAAAGACATCGGATATGGCTTCACCCACAGAAGTGTACACAAACTCTCGGGTTTATACTTTCAGTGTGATGTATTCTGGTTGTCTTAAAGGAAACGTGATGTGACATTATGACAAAAATTAGCGGTTATTGGTTGGGAAAAGGGGTGATCATCTTTAAGGGGGTAAAAATACATTGGTTTTATGGAATTATTATTCCATTCCATAGAAAACTGGTCTTGAAAAGGGGTGGCCTTCTTCAAGAGGGGGTCTTGTTGAAAGGTTTTGTGTTTGTACCTTTCATCTATCTTGTTTGAATCATCATTCCATCCATAATCACTCATTTCCCACCTATTATTCACCTCTCATGATCATCCTACCATCATCCCACCATCATCCCACCATCATCCCACCATTATCCCACCATCATCCCACCATCATACCACCATCATACCACAATCATCCCACAATCATCCCACAATCATCCCTTCAGTGGAAGACAATTGCATACCACCATTGATCATCTGTCCAGAAAAGTAACACGAGGGCTGAAGCCTCTTCCCTTGGCTTGCAAGCATGTCTCGCCAACCTTTCAGTTGAGATTTGATTTGGTTTATTTTTTATTTATTTTGTCAAAAAACAGTAAAAACTTTATGTGACATACAGGGGAGATGTACAATCTATACAAGTTTTCTTGAGTACCAAAATCTCTTCCACCTTTAACCATGATGATTCAAAGTTACAACTAAGCGAGATTAGAAGCATTTGAAATATACTTTTAGTAAAACTATTTTCGTTCCGTAGTTACAAAATACCTATTTGTATTGGTAAATGAACTATAGATTTGATTTAGTGTTGCTAACAAAATAGTAACCAATATCTTTCCCACAATTAGCAAAACAAGAGCAAAATGTGTGTCCAGTGAAGTGACATATATGTCCAAGAGAAAAGAAAAATGAGAAAGAAAAAAAAAAAGAAAGGAAAAAAGAAGGAAAAATAATAAACAAATCTCAAAAAAACATTCTCCTGTTTTCTCAAGATAAATTGTTATCAGCAAAATGTATTATACTTAAAAGGGAAGAACAAACTTTGTGATCAAAGAGTTGAAAAAAATTATAAGAGTTAATTTATAAAGAAAACTGTACATCTATAACAAATAATATAATGAAGAGAACAATACAGTTTTAATGCTTATGTTTTCAGGGGAAAATTGCTGCTTATAGAATGGAAAAAATCAAATAAACAGAAATCTACTCTCTGGAATACTTATGATGCTCCATTACAAGTTGCAGCATATGTAGGAGCATTAAATTTTGATACCAATTATGATATAAAGGTCTGTAGAATTTGTCAGTACAATTTTAATTCTGTTTTGAAACAATTTTTTTAAAATAAGTGTTTCTGAAAAAGTCTTCAATAACTCCCTTACTTTTTTTACTGCTTGCACATCATAACTTTTCTAATAATTTTTGTCTGTGGAACTTTATATTGATCTTCAATTTTGTGTTCTAACTTTTTAAGTAGTTAATAAGTTGAGATAACTGATATAATGGCAATTATGTTGTGCCTTTACAATTAAATCAAAATATCAGATGTACAGAAGATATTGTAAAGTGCATTATCAGGCTTATTATATCAGGCACTTTTATTTTACTTTTTCTTTTTTTTTCCCAGGTTGATGGTGGCCTTGTAGTTGTGGCTTATTCTGATGGGTCTCCAGCTCATGTTCATCCTCTGAATAAGTCACAATGTGAGAAGTATTGGCAAATGTGGCTGAACCGCCTTCGGTTGTACTGGGACTTATTTGACAAACAGGAAGCAAGCAATGTTCCAAATGCATTGTCATTGTGATGTTTTGCTATACATATTACTTGTTGCAATAATATTAAATTTTTACAGAAACTTCTGTGTAATGTTAATATCAATGATATTGTATAAATATGTTTTCAATATTAAGCAAGATCAAGAAAAGAAAAAGTTACTATATTTTAATAATGTATTTTTTCTTTATTTGCAACAAGTTTGTAAAAATATTGTATGGAATAATAGTGAAATTTTGAAAAGTCAGCTTGAAAATATGTCTATATTTCCATGTCAAATCAAGCATTGTAAACTTACTAATCCAAGTAAGATATCCTCTCCCAATTCTTGTTCCATGTTTCATTTCCATGATTGCTCTACACAAATATGTGTGAGAGTTCGTTATAGAAATGTTTTTAAAATATTTGAAGAAAGTGATTTAATTTGTGAAAAGGTGGCTGAAAAAGTGACTTAAAAAAAGATGTTGGTGATCAAATTTATTCAGAATTACACTAGAAGAGTTTGGAATGGGGGAATGTTTAGGTTTTTGTGAGAAGAATGCATTCATAAAGATTTCAGTAGAAGGGTTTGCATGGTTTACATGAATTTACATGAATTGGTCTTGGATCTAATTAAATTGTATCATGTGGAATTAACTTAGGGGCCATCCTTAAATTACGTGACACAAATTTGGAGTATTTTGAATACCCCTTTCTCTCTGTAACACACTCATAATGTGTGCTTAAACCTCCTAAATAATTACGTAATGCCTGCAACAATGCCTACACCCCCCTATTAAATGCAAGAAGTGAAAATAAATTACAGCACAATAAAAAAATTGTATTCATTTTATTTGTGTTGTATATTAAAATTTATGATGATTAAACTTGAAATTGACTGACTGCACCTAACAATATGATTGAGGGCAAGTTTTAAGGGCAAAATTTTTAATTGCAAGTCATGCAGACACCACTGTTGTGGATAGCACATAAGCAAGAGTCTACTGTGTCAGTTTAATTGTATTGTAGAAAATACTACTGATTAGTTTTGAATATTTTCTTCCTAACCTTACAGATTCAACAAAAAAGTGGTGAAAAAATTTTTTGATATATGATAACATCTTTCAATAACTTTTCATTATTTATATTTTAGAACAAATTATTTAGATAATATTTTAACGTTTTAGTTTAAGAACTAAAGAACTTTAGTTCAAAAAAGGAAGAAGTTCAACAAATGTTGAAAAATGTACAAAAAAGAAAAATATACATATATATATATTTTACCCTATTCCCGTGTAACACAGCATAACGCTGCCTCAACCTCACTCCCCTCTCTGTAGCAGGTACGTAATTTTTGGAGGAAATCAATGTGAAGAAACAAATTAAGGACATCATATGAGATGTACACTAGAATTTAGATCATTAACAGAAATTAAAAATATATGGATATTATTTTTATTCAAAATACATCATATAATGTCTAAATATTCCCTAAATCAAAAGAAAATAAAATAATTTTTTTATAAAAAGGCTTAATATGAAGATGAAGGCCTCTTCAGAATTTCTAGGGCCAATCAAATTACATAAATGCACACGTTTACACAAAGAAGAATTCTGGAAGTATTTACTTTCTTAATTTTCTCATTTGCTCAATGTATTATTTCCATTTAATTAGTGGTATGGATTTAAGGGTAAATAAAAAAATCTAGACAGTAACATTTCTTTTCGAAGAAATCAAGAGCCCTTTTGAGTCCTTTATTTTGTTGCACTGAAATTGCCACTTCTTAAACTCGTTTGTATTAGTGCTGTGTAATACAGGAGTTAAGATTTTTATTCTAAAATTAAATTAATTAAATCATGTGTCATTTAACTGTAATGTTAATGACACTTACAGTACTATTTATAAAAATTAGGTTGTTTTAGGGAGAATTTAAATTTCATAAAATAATTTTTTTTAAAGTAATGATCTGAATACACACCGACAGCAGGGACACCATAGGAATGATATCTTCAAAAAATGTTTTTAAATTTTGTTTATGTTGGGCAAGAAAATCTCTTGATACAAAATTAGTTTATTTCATTAATTGCACTAATTTGTCATTTGTTGCTATAAATAATTGTACATTTAAATACATCAAGTGTGTTACAAAGAGAAATATATACTATAGTAACTGGTTACACACAGTCAAGGATTGCAAATTGAGAAGTAAATTTGACAATGCTATTTTGTTGTAGTGTAAACGAACTTTAGAATCGTTATTTTTTTCGATCATTGTTTGGACATGAATGCAAAGGAAAATTTCTTGAAAGAATCGAGTGACAAACATATTCTCTTCATTTATAGTTTTTTGCAGCATGTCTATGTTATTTTTGGTGTCCAGCATTTCTTGATGTAAGAGTTCTTCTTCATTTTTTAAAATTGCTATCCCCTCTTTGATTTTTTCCAATTCTTGAAGGCATTCACATTCATTTCTTTTAATTTTTGTGGTTGACCTTTTCAGTTCATGAAGTAAATAATGCATCCTTTGATGTGTCTCACTGTTCATTTTTCTGACTTCATAATAAAGTGCTTGAAAGTCATCCATTATTTTAAAAAAATGATTATCTAAGTCTTTTTTAATGTCTTCGATTAAAGCCTGTTTCTTGTTTTGAATTTGCTTGGACCAAGATTTTTTTATTTCATTTACATCATCAAGCATCTTTTGTTCAAAGGTAGCATACTTTGAAGTATGAGTTTTATCTCCTATTAGTTGCATCTTGTGTAAATACAATGATAATATTGTCATTAAAAATAATACCCCTAAAAGTTCGGAATTACCTAGACCAGTCAGAAGTTTTAAACATTTTTGCGACGTAAGCATAATTATGTGAACTACTTTTGATTCAAAACCCAAAGGTGAGTCGGCTGGAAATTTTCTTCTCAGTAACTTTGATTTCTTTCCGTACGTATTGTGATCCTTTTTGATTTCATGTTCATCAGAGTTGTGTGTATAGTCTTGTGATTCCTCGATTTTCTCGTCGCTTAATACATCAGTTTGACGAAGTGATGTGCTCGAATTCTCGGACAGGGTCACATTTTTTTCGGTAATTTCTGAAAGAACATCACTTTCTGGCTTTTGATTGAGAGATGTGTCGGTTGAAATGTCTTCTTGGGCTGACACGAAGCAACCAACATCACTCGGAAAACTGTACAAAATAAGCCCGAAAACTAATACATTGGGATTGAACATTCTGTTATTGTCAGGAAGGTTTTTCACACTGAATTCGAAAGATCAGATTGTAGGGAATGTTTTGATCTTTCTAATAAACACTTGCCAGTCACAGCTAAGCAAAAATTTATTGTTGAAACGTCAATCGCAGAAGTCTTGGATCACGATAATCACCCCGAAGATAGTTCAAAACGTCGTTCACGAGGATGTCACACAATAAATTGATTCGTTAATTTAAATTACATTGATAAATCACGTATTTGCATACTTTTGTTGAACAGAAAATGACAGTAGTTAAGTTTTATTTATTTATTTATTTACGTTAAAAACTGTGTGTGACTTGCTAAGGGGATTTATTTATAAGTTGAATTCAAGCTTCATTTTAATGATTTCCCTTTAATGTACAGTTAGAAATCTGTGAGACTAGTTCTGAATTTGCCGCACCCTCGCGAAGTTAAAACAAAGGTATGTACTTGGAGACTACCTGAATACTTTTCTTTTTATGTGGTGTTTGACCAGTAAACATGTATGTCGGCAGAGGTGTAATTTCAGATATTTTTTTATTGCGGGGCAAATTTGGGCACTATTTTAAACATGAAAATATTCGTTTATATTAATGCTTTAAGTTAATTATGCTGCAATTAACATTGTTTTCAATTTTTAAATAGAAGTCACGATTCTCATTGTTATTTGAACGGTCCGAACTGTTTGATGCAGTTTCTTTAGTGAACCATATATAGTAACTGATAAAAGTATATCATTTATAATGATCACAAATATTTAAAAAGTTATGTATCAGTAGGATACATATTTTAAAATCTACATTAATACATTCTTTTAATTAAAATAAAATCTTCAGTTTCTGGCTATATAGAAAGAATGCATAGATTTATTTACATCTATAGTCCATAGTTTGGCGATTTTGATGGAGGCAACTTCGCCTTCATTGAATGCGTTGACCACTTCGATAGCTTTTTAATTGGTAGTACAGAAGGCATTTGCAACGTTAAGTCATGTGCCCCAACGAACGAAATAATGGGCGGCAAGGGCATCGAAGGAACCATTTCCTTGAATTTTTGTACTCCTATTGGAGCTTTGATGAATATTGTTTTCACTGCGGAAATTAATTTATCTACATCCGAATAATTCCCACGAATTTCTACCGCAACTCTATTTAGTGCAATGCACGTTACATGTATCATTTTAGAGTAGAGTAACTGCAAACATTGCCAGCTTACGCCTTGTAAGGGGCTGCATCAATGACTAGACTAGCGTAACTACCGCCGGCCCGTCAGGTGCAATTACCTCGGGCCACCGGACCACCAAAAGCATTTTTTTGGTCTAACTGAACACACTTAAAAGGTTCCCTCAGAGAGCTATTTGTTTATTATTATAAATCGACTAGTGGAAAGTTTGAATTATGTATTTTATTTTGAGAACGCGAAGATGTCCAAATTTATCATTTGACATTCTAGGAATTCATTCCATTCTCCTATTCCCCATTTCCCATTTTCCTATTACTTATTACTCCATTTAAAGAAAGACACCCAAAAGTGAAGCGTTTGTGTCGTAGTAGGTGGTCCACAAGAAATTATGCCCCTTTGGAGATTCGAATCAGCTGTTTTGCAAGCTTTATCACAAATAATCTTAAGAAGCAAAAGGGCATCTGAGCGAGCAGATGCATAGATGGCAATTCTCCCACTAGAAAAAACCCTAAGACACATTTGAATTGTTTTCCAGTTTTACTGCATTCAAAAATTTGATCGCGGACTAACACTGCATATAGTCTGCAAATATCCGATTGATCCTTGCCAAGCACAAGATTTCATTGAAGCACTTGGCAAATAAAATCCTAAAAAAGACTTGTAAATTCCCCCTCTTTTTTATGGGGTGGAAAAGGACGAACACAACTAAACCAAGCCCGAGCGGGACTCGAACCAGCAATCAGAGCGAGATCAGATCAGAGAGTTGGCTTAACTTGATCCTGATCGAGTACCTTCACTCTTTCAGCCAGCTTTCCATGACACCTGTTCAGTAATATTGCGTTTCTCAAACGATTCCGTAGGTTGCGATCTTTTTCAAAACTGAAAATTATCAAAATTATTGCGAATTTCGATGCAACGGGGAGCGATCTTAGCATATTGCCTCTACAGAGTACAGGAGAACTCGTAAAATC